TTTTCAAAAGTTTCCTATTATCTTTCTTGGGTTAATTCGGTGAGAAAGGTAATACCTTAATTGACCAACAGATACCAAAAGATCTGCATCTTTCGGTATCACAACTGCAATAAGTAAGAAATAATAAACAACTTCGCCGTATTATGTCAGCAGGAGAATATTCCCTGGGAAGAACAGAAGTCTTACGAGAATAGAGTAATTCCTTTTCGTTTTAAATGTGGATGGACAAATTTATTTAGTAAAATATTTCCTCAACTCATGTTAATTTTATTGACTTATCGATGGCAATAAAATAATTATTTTAAAACTTTCTGTTATATTCTTTTTTTCTTTTAACTAATGGTTTAAAAAATATTGGAAATTCAGGAGAATCACCTACGTTAATTTAAAAATTAAAATAAAGAATTAGAAAATAAATATATGATATTTCGTTCGTTTACATTCAAACATAGTGGTCCAGAGAATATCGCCATTAGTCTGTGGAAGGCTGACATCGTTTTGCCTGAACAGACGAGTCCCGTTTCCAGCTATTTCGGACAGATGATCGAGTTCGTGAGACTAAATTTGCTAATGGATCAAGTTTTTCAGCAGGGTATTGTACAAGTAGGATGTTATTTGTGCAATGGTATGGAAAAGTGTTCCATTCATATTCGCAAAGACTCTCTAGTAAAACGAGTCTGTCTTGACAATGTGTGACGTGCACAGATTTTGTTGCCGGCCATTTTGTGCTCGCTATATATCCATGGTTATGATGATCTGTTTAAAAACCAGATAATACAACATCCCATTGTGTGCAGGTAACATGAAATTGGTTTCAGGAATGCTCGGCTAACTTCTATTAGCTCGTGAGCTCGCCAGATGTGTATGGTACATGTTTCAGATCTCACTAAATTCTCTAGAATCTCTGGAATGCATCTTATGCGTTTTATGGAACTTCCGAGAAAAAGAGTATATTAGAAAATAAATATATGATATGTGTATGCGTGAGTGTGTGCTGTCAGATACTTCTCATCACGTAATAAATTATAATAGAAATAAATTTTGTCACTAATTAATGTATCAATGTCGATCGATTACATTTAATTAAAAAATCATTTATTGATAAAAAGTAATTTAATGACAATGATATGTCATCTTAATTTTGAAAGGTACCGATATTCAGAGAACTTAAAACGATTACTTAGTTACTTATTTTAGTAGATCAAAATACAATTATTGCCACGTGATGCAATACAATAGTCAGTGTATTATTTTAAAAAATGGCCGTGAATAACCAGCTTTTGTATCTGTCATTTACATTATTGCTAAGTAGGACTGTTTTTACATTTTCATATGTAACGAGGTAGTTGTTCTAAGTAACAGGTTAATCGAAATAAGTGCTGCATAATTTGTTGCTATTTTAAAATTATTCTAATGACAAATTATTTCCATTAATCATAAAGCTGATCATACTTTTTGAACGTTCGTAATCTAACACTTTCTCCCCAGCCCCTCAAACTCCGACGTTTTACTCTCTGGGTTGAGGTGTCTACTCGGTCTTAACCGAACTTAAGGGAGTGATCGTAGGTCCCCTGAGCATCCGCAGATCATTCGACCGGTCCACTGGTTTAATCCTGCTTCCTGTCCACGTTGCGTTTGGTTTGATCCAGAAAGCAGAAGTGATGTTTATCCATTCACGGTCGACTGAAGGTGTAAACACGGCTGGAGAGTCTGTGCTAAGAAATTTAGCATGCACCAAATGTATATATATATATATATATATATATATATATATATATATATATATATATATATATATATATGCAGAAAGCCGGACAAACTCAATTCAATGGTTGAATTGTTAATGCCTTTTATATAGCAGAAAAGAATAGTATAGAAAAGAAACGGGTTACAGAAAAGAAAATTATATGACGTAAAAAGAAAAAGAAAAACTAATACACTGGATTCTAGACGGAGAAAGAGCGGATTTTGATTAACTTGTTAAATCGTCTCAGAACGATATATGACTCTTGCGATGGAGAGATAAAGATTTCTGTGCACGACTTAAAGTTTATAGTTGCATTCCTTCTCGGCAGTAGTAACAGTAGTAGTATTCTTCGTGGTAGCAGAAGCATCGGTACTTATATCAACAGTATATGTTAGCGGGGGCTTTGTTTCAATCTCTGACGTCACTTTCGTACTTCTTCGAGCCTTCAATTCAACTCTGTTCACTTTCAATCTCCGATATCTCTCCACCCAGCTCGATTGCACTCGAAGACAGACGAGCAAAAACCAATCTTTGGTTATTGTAGCTTGTTCGACGTTTCCGTTTCCAGTGGTAGTAATAATAGTATCAGTAGCAGTCTTAGATTGTTGGAGGAGTAATTCGCTTCTTCGTACTTATATCAACAACATATGTTAGCGGGCTTGGCGGTTTGGTTCCAATCTCTGACGTCACTTTCAATCTCCGACCTCTCTCCACCCCGCTCGACTGCTTTCGACGGCAGACGAGTCATCCATTCTTTTTGCGAAAAGATTTCTGTAGCACCGCGACCGATAACGGTCGCCTGCGGGTGCCCACGCACGTGACGGCACACAGCGACAACGACGTGCCGACCGATCGCGGCCTCTCCCATCTGGCCTCTTCCGTCTCGCCCGACCGCCTGCATAACTACGTGTTTATACAGATAAATCTGGTTGATCATATATCGACCCTTGGCCCGCACGCGATTATCACGAGTGCCATTTTCAACTCAAAATCATGTGAATTTCATAGCCTTAGTAAGCTCTATTTCAAATTTTAACCGATAAAAATTATTTTGATCATTTTCATTGTCTTTGTCATGACCCGATTCCATATGGGCGAGATCAGATTTCCATTAGTATACAAAATTGTTCTGATCTAATTTCCCTGCTCAAATCTACTCCAATTTCAATAAAAAAAATATACGTGTGTGTTTGTGTGTGTTTCCCAAACTCTCTCCGTTACAGTCATACAATTGTACAAGACAGTATTTAAGAAAGATATGATAGGAAAAATAAAGCGGTTGTTGTAATTTATATTGATAACAATATTTACCAACCGGTTACAGTAATGAACAATTACAATAGTAAAAATTCGTATACAAGTTATTCAAAGCTTTGACCGGTTGTTTTTGTCGCACTTGTTGCTCTATGCATTTTGATTTCACCTAAAGTCTCTTTTGAAGCATACTGATCGAAACTGTATTAATATATGTTTGCTAAGTTTGCACATGTTACTAGATCGAAACTAAGAAGAATCCCAGTTTGACTAAGTAAGGAAATTTTTCTAATTTTCTTTCTAAAGATGTTTTCCGATGGATATGATTTGCAACTGGTTTTCTTAAATTCGATATTGTTCAATGCTTGAGTAATTTTTCTGCGATTCATAACCAGATGTTCTCTATCCGACAAATACCTTTCATTTAAAGGAATTCGATCATAACAATAAAAAAAAAACACATCTAAAATTTGGGGAAAGCGGTCGCAGTTTTTTTTTCTCTTAACTCAAGCTATATAATACTATTAAATTAATTATTCTTTTCTTAACCTGCTTCATATTCAAACAAAGCCTTTTTAACTAATATCATTTTTGATTCAATGTTGAGGGAAAGCATTCAGAATATGCAAGATTCATTTTAAATTTAGTAAATTTACAGTAAACCTAAAAGAGTCACACATCATGCTCTTTAAGCTATAAAACAGTAGCATTAAAAATTGAAACTATAACATTCATTAGTCATAAAAAATCAGATATCTGAAGCAGTTTTCACTAATCAGTATGATTATAAATGCACGAATAATCAATAGCCACTGATGAAATATAATTCATAGAATAATTCTGTTACGAGATAAAATTGAAATAGTAAGCAATATGAATTTCCTAAGTTACTTGGAACTGGCGCTTTGTTTACCAAAAGGAATATAAGAAATTATCAAGACAATGTATTCTCAATAGCGGGTGAGTAAATTATTAATCTATCTCAATCTCCGACTAACAGGTGTTGAGTGATTTGCTATGTTATATTACTGCAGTAATGAGCGATTCGTCAAAGAGAAATAGGTTAGTATCAGTTATTTTGTACTGCGTTTCTGTAATATGCTATGGGGTTAGCCACACTTACTTCACTAAATAAACGTCACTAGGGGATGCTCCTTAAGCCTATAAATAGGGATGACATTCTCTGTCACTCTATCTTATCTATCTTTTACATGTCGCACGTGGAGAAAGGCGCCCCAGGACACGCATGAATCTTTCTCTTCACTTTCTATTACATTTTTCTACACCAACATCTTCACTATTTTAAATATTTTCTTCTTTCATATTCATTGTTTTGTCACACGCAACCATCTTCTATTGTCTATTTATACCTTTGTTTAGTTAATACATACATTGTTGTTTGTTTATATATATAGTTTTGTTGTTAATTTATTCATTTTTATTATCCGAACTCACACTCGAGTCCGTAATTATTGTTGTGAGATAAATGTACCAGGAGACACTTGTTTTCTACCTAAACACGAACCAGCATCATTCGCAACAATAAAAAGAAAATCAAAATTAAGATCAAAGAAATAGTATTTAAACATTAATAATTGTTCACACTGTTTTATCTAATTAAATTTCAAGGTAATATGAGAGCATACCGAAAGGTTCTAGACCAAGAAGTAATTCTCCCACTAAATCCTGATGTTTGATCATTTTCTCAGATTTTTAGAAGTAGATCGGTCCGAGAACTTTCCCCATCCTGTCGTATTGATATTTTCCTTTTCATCAGTTTCAAATAATGTGTTGCAGCGGGCCGAGAGGTGTGAGTGCCAATCGACCGTACAACTAAAAAGGGGACACAAGGGCAAGGAGATGGCGATAGCAAAGAAGGATGACAAACGCAGATGGTCCGTTGTAGACGATGGAAATCGTGTCTTTATTTGCAAACGGTGGATGGTAAAAAAGACAGAGGTCGTTTGAACGGTGTCCGGACGATAACGGGCGCTAGACGTCAGTGGGCACTGGATAAAGTCGTCAGCGGGTGCTGGAATAGGACGCGGGACGTCAGTAAAGCGCCGCAGGGGTGAGCTGTAAACTGCAGGAGTGAGCTGGAAGCGGTAGGAGTGCTGGAAGCTGCAGGAGTGCCGGAAGCTTCAGGAGTGCTGGAAGCTGCAGGAGTGAGCTGAAGGCTGCAGGAGAGAGCTGGAAGGTGCAGGAATGAGCTGAAGGCTGCAGGAGTGCTGGAAGGTGCAGGAATGAGCTGAAGGCTGCAGGAGTGCTGGAAGGTGCAGGAATGAGCTGAAGGCTGCAGGAGCGAACTGTCCCGTCAGCTGCTGAGCTTGATCGACTTGACTGGGCGCGTCAAAGTCGCGAATTAGGGAGGCTTCCTGCTCCCCGGGCCGGCGGTATTTACTTGACTCCCACGAGGTCAAGATGTGACACAAGGTCGTTTTTCGTGGGATTACTTGACTCACGCGGTCAAGTCGTGACACAAGGTCGTTTTTTCGTGGGAAAAACCCAAGCGTTTCCGCATAGGGTCACTGGTCAAAGATTGGTCATAACATGTCCAAGCTGGTCAAGGCTTAGTCAATGTTTTGGTCATAACATGTCCAAGCTGGTCAAAGCTTAGTCAAGTTCTGGTCCAAGTTGGTCTTGGCTTGTCTTAGCAGGTCCTGATATAGGTATGACGGTTCGTACAAGAGAAAGCGGTGACGCTAAACAAGTAAATGAATATAATTAATTCCGGGCCGTATTATATAACAGTCAAAAGTGTGTTCGGTGTTTGTTGACTGTATTTAAATTAATTTCGGTTCGAAATTAAAGGTCTTTTATTTTTGTTTAGTGGCGAAAATTGAGTTTTGTGTGTTTCTGACAGTTTGGAAGGATGTCGTTGCTATTTCTAGCACACAAGGACCGTGACCTTTCTCTATCGGCAGGCATAGCCGGGGTTGTTTAAGAAACGGTGGGAGTGGTGTTTGGGCACACTGCGACAAATGTACTGAAAAGTTCTATTATTGGAGTTGAGGTTCCTTTTCTTTATTCATTATAAAATATGCTCAACTAACTTAATGCTTACTTTAAGCCTGTCAGATCATTTCTCAGAACAGACGACAATTATTTGTAGTTCTATTCCTCAAGCTATGACATAATATTCCTTGAGCATTTTCAGTTTTGTTCACTTAAGGATATCAAATTACATGAAACTCTGTATTCATATTCAGAAACTGTAGCAAAAATGATTAAAGTTTATTATTTCCATAAAATCAAACGTTGCTCCAATTTAACCTGAAAAATATTTATTATTTGGGAAAGTAAATGATCTTTGCAGAATAAAAAGGGGCTTACGAGGTGGATACGAAACATAACATTAAAAATATAACATAAGCTTAACATAATAACTAGCGGGAACCGTGAAATTTCCACGGACCGACTAATAGAATGTTGAGTAAACAATAAACTTTTTCTACATATACGTATGTATAAAAATAACGCAGCGAAGAAGGCAACAAATAGTTAAATTATGTATATTTGTAGAGGTATATTTACAAATACATAAAGTTTAGCTATTAAATCTATCCTTTTTTAACATGCAATACTCATTGGCTGGGAAAATAAACAACACATAGAGATACTTGGGAGTGTCTACCATGTGTGCAAAGATTGCCAATGCCAATCAGTTTCAACCTCCCAACATAGAGCCATGCCAGTTTCCTCCGATATGAATATAGAAAATAATAGATCTATATATGCACAAAACTATATGATACATACAGCATATAAATAGTTTCCTCTTTTGAAAGATATTTAATATATATATATATATATATATATATATATATATATATATATATATATATATATATATATATAGCATGGCCCGGCGTTGCCCGTGCTTGATTCAAAAATCGTAAGACTCATACAGCAATCGCTATCACTTGACTTAAAATATGCTTGTCCTTCCTTGCCTTTAAAGGAGTGCCTTTTGCCGTGCTGATGTTGCTACATACCTTACTTATTGCCTATCTCACACAGCGATTTTTTTCTAAGCTGTATACTAAACATTAAATCTGTTACGAAAAAAGAACTAAACAAAATGAACACAAAACGATCAGCTTTAAAAAAAGGACTCGTAACTGGAAAAACCGAATGAAAAAAGAATACAACAAATACTTTTTCACATCCTGGGTTGGATGTGAAAAAGTATTTGTTGTTAACATGTTGACCACATGTTGTTCTGCGGAATCAGAATCAACGTTGAGTTTAAGCAAGCGAATGAGCCAATTGGAGTAAAGTGCCATGCAGATTTAAATTTTTCCCACTTGTGACGAATGCAGCTATCGATTTTTTTTGCATGCTAGCATGCTAGTTAACATTCGTGTCAGTCAGCTCTCACGCTGGCCAATAGAATCTTCCTGCCTATTCGTGGCTTTCACTTTGGCCAGTAGAAAATGGCCGCAAACTACATGAAAACTGCCGTAGAAGCATGAAAAAATCGATTATTTCCACTATCGATGGGAGTTGGGAAATGCAAAGTCGGTCTTGGCCTTCCCGCTAACTTGGAGCATGTGCATGTAAATATTGGTGCAAATCATAGGAAACTATATATATATATATATGCATACCTAATGCAAAGGGTCTCCATAATTTCTGAAAACACCTTTAATTCAGTACCTCTCGGCAGACAATAATCTTAGTAACAGTTCGTCCTCTTCTCCTTACTTGTCTGTCTGTCTCCATCATCTTAGCCTTTACATCTGAGAGTTTGCGAGCTCTAGAGAATATCACATGCAATGGCGCGTGACTGAAAACTGGCTGAGTTAAGAACAATCTCAATCTTCTCAAATATCTGCCCCTGTGACTTGTTAATACTCATAGCATATGACAAAAGGGACAGGAAACTGGGTTCTCTCCAAGGTGAATGGCAGGTTAGAGTCGCTTGGAGCCAGCTTTATTCTGCGAATGAGGACAAGTGTCCCAATTAGTGATCCGTTAATCAAGGAAGCCTCAATTGAATCCTGATGCATGGCCACCTGTACCATTGCAGAGTCTGTTCTGGATAGAGATGATACGAAGAAGCATTACTATTAAGCCGAGTTTTAAACTCAATTTATGAGGAGGCATTCCTGGTGGTATCAAGAGTTTAGAATTCAGGTGGGTAGCGCTCAGTCTCAACAGGATTATCTGTCAAAACTTTATCTGTACTATAATAAGTGCAGTAGTTACCTGGAATTTGTTTCAAAACTTATTCATTAATCAACAGGCAGTCCTTTTCGAAAGAATTACTCTGCTCTTTCGCTCTTCCTCAGATGTATTGTTGAAGAGAGATCCGTCAAGGCATGAAATTTGAGACACTTCTATGTCATCAGCAGCAAGATTAGGGTCTTGTGAAGCTGTCGATGTTCCATTGTCAAGATGCATGACCCATTCTGCAAATTCCTTTTGATTTGATGTTTGTGATGTTTTGGCTTAATTTGTATTGGATGAAAATCCGACACAGAGGAGAATTTTTAATGCAGATTTCAATAATTGCCTCACAAGTTCTTCTTAACAATATAGGTAGGACTTGCACAACTTTACCACTAGAAACAGTAGTAATGCCAGTGATATCTCGTAAGGTTTTATCAATAGCATGAAGAGCAAATGAAGCGATCATCGAATATGATCATATCCAGATTTCGTAAATAATTTGTATGGTCTGAAGTGGCTAGTACATTACAAACGCTGGCCTCCGTGAGTGGGATATGCAATTTGAACAAACTATGGATAGTCTTTCTACCTGAAAGTAGTGTAGAGGCAATGCCTGTCCAAGCACCACTGCACACGTTGCAGTTGTTCCTTCGCAGATAAGAAATTAAGGTATTAAACATATAAATTTTACCACAAAGTCCTGGTGCATCTACATAGAAATAGGAGTAGTTGGACACCTCACCTCTCCTCTTCTTATCCACAGATTCAAGCACAGTATTAGCAATCAGTCTCTGTTCATCCGTAAGTGTTGCAATGCTTGGGTGATCGAGGTCTTCATGATGCGGTATTCAAATAGGTTCAGGCAACCCAATTGATAAACAATTAATGCTATTCTCTATCAGAGTGCAGTGCCATGTTTTTTTCTGCATTAAAAGCTTCGTGCAAGAAATCTTCAATCATGGATTCCTTGTGAGTAGTCCACTGGTGAAGAATATTTGTAGGGTTCATACACGTGCACAGGGTAGCAAACATAACGCGCAAGTGTAAAGGCATCCGACAAGCAGCAGTTTCGAGCAATGCATGTTCCAGTGTGTCATGGTTTGAGAGAAGACCATATCTCAGGCATGATGTCTTAAATGTTGGCAATATTTCTCCTACAGTGCGCAAATTCTGAAAGCTCACGGCGCCTGAATCATGCAGCAGCAACATTTTTCTGTCTGCAAACATTCTACTGATGATATTATTTGCCTTGGTGTCCATGTTCTAGTGTGCTTATTAAACACATAATGCAGCGGAATGTCAGGGCCAGTATTTTGTCTTCTGTACTCTGAATAGCCATTCAAATTCAGAAGCGTTTCATCTCTGTAGTTCTTTGGGAATTTATTTTGGCATGAGCCATTTTCCCATTTTCTGTTCCACAATGATCATGTATCATGCATTTTTTTTAACTAAATCATGCATGACTGGATCATCATTGTCATCAGGAATTTCAGCTGTCACGATCCTATCCACGTCATCGCTGTTTCTGAGTTTGTCCTCATTTCTCAACACTCCCAACATGTGGCAGTCGGGCAAACCTCTCTCCTGAAACTCAATGACATGGACATAAGCCACTGAGAGCCTCAAAATGTGTCTATCCTTTATGTCCCTCATCATAAGTTCTGCAAGGTGTGACTTGTACACTCGGGCAACTAAATCTGACCTATTTTCAGGTGCTTTATTTTGATGTCGATTATTCGGGTTGTAAGTGTAAGTGATAAACAAGTCTGGCTTATTATATTTTGAAACAATTAGCATGGCATCCTGATAATATTGATGCATATTCCTCGTACTGCTTGTGAATGGCACTTCTGGTTCAATATTCTCATCTGTTCCTGTGTTATCTGAACACAATCCGTTCTACCATTCCCCTCGCAACTGGGCTTGATTGTTCCTAAGATATTGCAACATGCAACATGCAACCTTCCACCTTGACATATGCATCCACAATATGCATTTGCAATTATTTTCCAGCTCCGTGAAAAACACTAAACCCACCTCTGAATGAAAGACTATAGCTGTAGTATTCTTGCATTGTTAGACGATTACTCACACGTGTTGCATCCAATTTCCCCATGGGAAAACAGAATTGGTTAGCTCATAGTGTCCAAGTGGCATGACGTGTAAGATATTTTTTCAGGGGGAGCATTTCTGGGATACACAACAATGTCTCTATTTTCTCCAACAAACACTGCTGCTATTTCATTACTGATAGGGAAATTGTAGCCCCTGATATCGGACCCTCTCCTGAAGCATAACTCACATCTCAGTATCGGTACATTGTCTCTTCTGGCTCTCGCTTCTTCATGTTCTTCAACTGCATGGATGTTATTGTACAATTCTGCATAAGGATTAATTTGGTGGATAACATAACTTATTTTTCTCATAGTAACATGAGAACACTCAGAATTTTGAGGCGCATCTATCCTCTGCTGCAGTGCTTCATCCGCATCAACGATGTATAACTGGCCGTATTGCGGTTGATAATTAGCAGGATACAGGTTTGTCGATGTGTGGTAAGTTTGGCCTTGAATGCGGAAGCAATACGGACCCATTCCTGGAGATACTGTCAGTTTGACTCTTTGGAAGCACATTCACTTTTCCATTGTGGCAACAACTATTATTTTCATTTCTAAACCTAAGTGCACCACAGTATTCACATATAATGTTCATTTTTCTAATGTTAAATTGTTCAACTTCATTAACAAAAGCTCAGTTAAGCACTGGCCCATGTCTTCTCACAAAGTATCGCTGCATCTGGAGCCTCCTTAAATCGTCAATTTCACCAGCTTCCTATTTTCAACTCTTTCTCGATATCTTCCCCTTTGGTTTTGTCATATTGATTCATGTTCTCTACTCTTTACTGAAACTGCTCATGGTACTCTGCACGTTCTTCCTCATTCATATTTCCCTCCTTTGCTGCGGTAAGTTTCTCTGCTGCTCGTGGTACTTTGCACGCTATTCCTCATTCATATTTTCTCGTCTTATTTGTTGTCTCCCCATATCTTACTGCAGGTGTTCCTCTTCGCGTTGTTCACCCTCCATTGACGCTCGTCTCAGCTGCTGGCGTTGCCTGTCTCTTTCTAGGATTTCCTGTCTCTGCTTTTCCCTTATCCCTGTAGAGCTTCATTCTCGCACGAACAGCTTCCAGGTTTTGTCGCCGGTTCATGATGAATGCAGTTTATAAGCACAAAAGTAAGAACCTTCATTTTTTCACAATACCTAAGGTTTAAAATGAATTTTTATAAATAGAAAAGCTTTCTTGAAGCTTTCATTTTATCTTTAATTGAAAACTAAAGGATTAAATTGACTATTTCCAGTAAACATAATACTCTGGTATATTTCAAATAGAACATAGTGATTTGAATCATTTTTTTTTGGTCGCTCGTAAAATCAGCCTTTTTTGACAGATCAACAGATTTGTAAACAAAATTTAGTTCTCGGTTTTAAAAATCTCGAAACAAAAATTATGCAAAAATTGTGAACACACGATGTCGAAAACTAATAAAAATGAGAAAACTAATTTCAAATGGTAATGAAATAAAGTCTAATAATAATTAAATTAAGCATCGGATTTAAAATTAAATTCAAGGTTTCAAAACAATTCTAACAAAAAATTAATAAAACAAAAGAAAAAGAAAATTAAAATCTGAAAACAACTTTTATATGAATGAATTATGTTTTTCTAGAATAAGGTTCTAATTTATTAAGTGAAACTAAAAATAAAATTAATTAATTGAAGTATGACACACACTAAAATAAAATAAGTACATAAAATAAAAAAACTTAGTTACACGGAAATTAAAAAAAGTAACACTTTAAAATTTTTGAAGTGATGCTTTTCAAAGCATTTTTTCAGGCCAATTTAATGTTTCTAAATTTCATGAAATTAAGTGGGTTGTAACAAATGTAAAAAATATGTTTACTACAATTTTCTGAAAAACAAAGAACGCGGAATATAATTTAATTAATTTTCGAATAAGTCCTGAAAGTTTCATTAAAATTCGACAATTATTTAATTTTTTCAAGAATTTCCAAATCAGTGTGTTTTCACCTGGCGCATAAACACTAACGTAAATATAACCCGGGTCGCCGACTTAAAAAAAAAAGAAAAGGTTTTACCAAAATTTCGGACGTGCTACAAAGGATTAAAAAATTTAATAAAATAATCAAAGAATACTTTGATCTTTCCTCTTAATAATAACAAACATTTTGACGATAATAATTTGTTTTTATTAAGTCTGAAGCCTTTTTCCTCATGTTATGCTGTTTTTCGACGAAAAAGTGGAGTTACATACACAAAAGAAATACAAGATATATATAAAAACACGCAGAAAAAATTGATAAAAATGGACTGTTATAGGCATCCTTTATTGTCACTCCTCTAACTGCATTGGAATAGGTGAGGTTGAGGGTATTTGAAAATCGCTGACATTTGTTGACGGCAAGAGTGAGATGGAGTGGGTGTGGTGTTTCTTTGAAAATCGCCGCCAGTGAAACGCCGAGTACAGATCAGTACTGAAGAGAGTAACGGACGGAAGGAACAAGTACAATTATAATAAGATAATACTGCATATGTGATACAAGACGATATAAAAAGAGTTGTAGGTTCTATTGAAGTTTTACAGGGAAATTGGAAAAGAAGAAATTGAATCCTGATGCATGGCCACCTGGAGTCAAAAAGCCACCAAAATAATTGGGAGAATATTTGGAGCAGCCCAATGGAAAATAATTCTACTGCAGAGTGGATCAAACGAGAAAAAGAAAGAATAAATGATAAATCTGTACAAGAATGAATGATAACCAAGAACAATGTAAGGCAGGCTCTAGCAATATTCTAAAAATTGAAATCCTCAGGGAATGACAAGCTACCCAACGTTTGGCTCTATCATTTGTCATTAATCCATAAAACTCTTGCGCAAACTTTATCAATGCTAATAGCCCCAATGAGATTCCAGAATGGATCACTGAAGATATTACATATCTTCTACTAAAAACGTGTGAAACATATGATCCCCAAAATTATAGGTCAATAACATGTTTGTCCACCACATGTAAATTGATCACGTCTGTCCTGGCATGCTTTAATTACTCTTTTCTCGATGAAAACATTTTTCTTATGGGACAGAAGGGATTCCGAAGAGTTTGATATGGCTGCAAAGATCAACTATTGTTAAATAAAATGATTCTGGAAAATTGCAGGAGAAAAGGTAGAATTCTCAGCGCAGCTTGAATAGATTACTGTAAAGTCTTTGATGGTGTGCGACACTCTTGGATCCTTAAGGCTTTGGACATGAAAGTCTCCTCGGTGATAGTAAATTTTCTTAAATGTGACTGTGGAAAACCACATTATACCTAAATCACTCCAAATGCACTGCCACTTCTAATTGTTTGAATATCCGACGAGGTATATTTCAAGGAGACTTCCTGACACACTTACTGTTCTGTCTGTCATTAATCCTCCTTTCACATCAACGAAACAGTAATAACTATGGATACAAACTAAACAAGAAAGTTGTTCCTGTGGTGCAATACAGTTTCAACATCCTTAACTTGACCACAACTATTGACAAAGGCAATAAATCAAATGCAGAAACGATTGCAAGATAAGGAAGGAAACTGCAAGAAACTGGTATGAACACCAACGAGACCCAATTCTAGACATAGGACATGTAACAATTTTATGAGATTTTGCAATACACACAGACAGAACAATCAAAACTAATCATCGTGATCAAAGACCACAAAAGCAGAATGTATTTTCTTATTGATATGGCATTTCCTTCAGGCTGTAATGTATCATTGAAGATCTCAAAAGAGTATCAAAATACAAGGATCTTGAAATGGAGATCTAAAAAATGTGGCACATGATCAATAATTTCAGTTATAGTTGTAGCCTTCGGTTTGATTGGGAAATGTTCCGATAGACTCATTGATGGTATCCTTGGTATCCCATCCATTAAAGAAATACAAAAAAATTGTACTTACAAGTACAACTCACATCTTACGTATATGTATGATCTTAGGTTGTCTATTTCTTTTTTACAAAAATGTTCAGTGGAAAAATGTCATGATACCATTTCTAACTTTAGGTCTATGGTTGGAACCAAGAAGGAAATGAGTAGACAACAGAAATCAAAGGAAATAATAATATAAAAATATAAAGTTTTAAATGGATTTTTCATCTG